TTGCTATCATTTGTTTTATACAATCCGTCCTTACCTAAAAATATAACTGATTTACTATGCAATTATAAATTTACATAAAAAAGGGCAAATTAGGTCAGTTTTGGTTGATGCAGACAAATAATTTTGTTATACGAGTCAGTCTGAGGTATAAAAACTACTGATATTTGTTTACGATTAGATATTTTGAATAAAAAGAGGACATGCTGGCACCATAAATTGATGTGAACCAAATTTTTAGTCATTGTGGTCCAATATTGCTATCATTTGTTTAATACAATCTATCCTTACATAAAAATATAACTGATTTACTATGCAACTATCAGATTTACATAAAAAAGAGCAAATTAAGTCAGTTTTAGTTGACGCGGACAAGTAATTTTGTTATACGAGTCAGTCTGAGGTATGAAAACTACTGATATTTGTTTATGATTAGATATTTTGAATAAAAAGAGGACATTTTGGCTTTCTTAATTCATGCGAACAAAATTTTTTAGTCATTGTGGTCCAATATTGCTATCATTTGTTTTGTACAATCCATCCTTGCATAAAAATATAACTGATTTACTATACAACTATAAGATTTATAGAAAAAAGAGCAAATTAGGTCAGTTTTGGTTGATGCAGACAAGTAATTTTGATATACGAGTCAGTCTGAGGTATGAAAACTACTGATATTTGTTTACGATTCAATATTTTGAAAAAAAAGAGGACATTTTGGCACTCTCAATTGATGCGAACAAAATTTTGTAGTCATTGTGGTCCAATATTGCTATCATTTGTTTTATACAATCCATCCTTACCTAAAAATATAACTGATTTACTATGCAACTATAAGATTTACATAAAAAAGAGCAAATTAGGTCAGTTTTGGTTGATGCGGACAAGTAATTTTGTTATACGAGTCAGTCTGAGGTATGAAAACTACTGATATTTGTTTACGATTCAATATTTTGAATAAAAACAGGACATTTTGGCACTCTCAATTGATGCGAACAAAATTTTGTAGTCATTGTGGTCCAATATTGCTATCATTTGTTTTATACAATCCATCCTTACCTAAAAATATAACTGATTTACTATGCGATTATAAGATTTACATAAAAAAGAGCAAATTAGGTCAGTTTTGGTTGATGCAGACAAATAATTTTGTTATACGAGTCAGTCTGAGATATAAAAACTACTGATATTTGTTCACGATTAGATATTTTGAATAAAAAGAGGACATGCTGGCACTATAAATTGATGTGAATTAAATGTTTTAGTCATTGTGGTCCAATATTTCTGTAATTTGTATTATACAGTCCCTCCTGACCAAAAAATATAACTGAATCACTGTGCAGCTATATAGATTGACTTGATAAAGTGCAAATATGGTCAGTTTTGGTAGATGCAGACAAATAATTTTGTTATACAAGTCAGTCTGAGGTATAAAAACTACTGATATTTGTTGATGATTAGATATTTTGAATAAAAAGAGGACATGCTGGCACTATAAATTGATGCGAACCAAATTTTAAAGTTATTGTTTTCCAATATTGCTGTCATTTGTATTATACAATCTATACTGATATAAAAATATTACTGATTTAGTATGCGACTATAAGATTTACATAAAAAAGAGCAAATTAGGTCAGTTTTGGTTGATGCGGAAAAATAATTTTGTTATACGAGTCAGTCTGAGGTATGAAAACTACTGACATTTGTTTATGATTCAATATTTTGAATAAAAACAGGACATGCTGGCACTATAAATTGATGCGAACCAAATTTTTTAGTCATTGTTTTCCAATATTGCTGTCATTTGTATTATACAGTCCCTCCTGACCTAAAAATATAACTGAATTACTGAGCGGCTATATATATTTACTTGATGAAGTGCAGATATGATCATTTTTGGTTAATGAGGTCAATTAATTTTGTTAAACGAGTCATCCTGAGTCGGACAGTGTGAGATGTGAATAATGCTGGATTTTGGTGATGATTTAATTATTTTAATAAAAGAAGGACATGCTTGAACTGTTTGTTTCTGCAGAAAAAAGAAATTTACTATGATCAATTTTCAATTAATTTAAGAGGTGTTATTACATTATTAATTAACTGTTAATGTCTATCGAAAATGAACAGTTGGTCATTTAATTTTGATGTACTTTATCATTTGATATTTAAGGTCAGTGTATCCAGGATACGATGACAATTTGCGTTAACGCGCGTTTACTACAAACAGTAAACGTGCGTTTACTTTTGACGAAATTAGAAGACGGGCCTTTTTCACGTTAACGCGGAAGTAAACGCGAAAGTAAACGCCCGTTTACTCTTTACAAAATTAGAAGACGCGCCGATTTTGCGTTAACGCGAAGGTAAACGCGAAAGCAGGAACATATATATATATATGTTAGATATACTGTTCCCAGGCGAAAGTAAACGCCCGTTTACTTTTTATGTCTACTGAAATTTCTGAGTTAACGCACAGTTAACGCGGCGTTTACTTGAAGTGCACGCGAGTAAACGCCGCGTTAACTTATTCCGCCCGTTTACATGTAATGCTTGGTCTGCACCCAACTGTATGTGCATTAGCCACGAGGAGGACTATAATATAGTAATCCTTTTTTGGGTATTATAAAAAAGAAGATGTGGTATGATTGCCAATGAGACAACTCTTCACAAGAGACCAAATTAGTTTATGCTTGTGTTGTAAAGTGTTTTGATATTCATATTTCTGTGTATTGGCTGGAGTGTCCTTTAAGCACCTGCCCTTGGTGACTCCTGCATATGAACAACAATACTATTTGTTCATATGCATCAGCCACGAGGAGGGACTTAACTCAAAAAGCTATTTTTATAATGGATGTGATGCTGCTTCTGGTGCATGGTCAATAAACACTAAACATAATGGTTTACATGAATACATGTATTATTAACTCAATTTATATTTCATTTTTTTCAGTTGGTTTTTTTTCTTGTGTATTGTCTATATTGCAATTGTTTAATATAAAAATCACTGTACTGACTATGCCCATAATGGGTCCTCTATTGGAAATAAAATGTATCTATCTATCTAATGTTAAATAGGCGAATTTTGAAAATGTTAAAAAATCAAAACGAATTTTCCCAGTATTGCCATGGTGACCATAATACTCATTGTATTTTACATTATTTACTTTACAATACCAATAACATTTTTCTAGCTATCGATTCATTACCAAATAGGAAAATAATTGAATTTCAAACTTTGCCACCAAAACGTGACCACTTAGCAAGTAGCATATCTTTAAAATTTCCTGCGTACTAATTTGATTAACAGGGCCGGATCCAGGATTTTGGAAAGGGGGAGCGAAGTATGTAAACTTCGTAGCGTAGCGAGGCGAAAATCTTTTTGGCTAAAAAACATAAAATAAGTGTAAAATGCACTTTTTTAACGGTTCCTGACGTAAGGCATGTATATTTTATAGTTAAAGTGTAAGGGTTGGACATTTTTGATGCCGTATTCTCCCCATTAATTGCCCAATGATTGGATGGATCCAAAGCTATGTTCTAATATATTTGATGTGGGACTTGTCAGTAAAAAATTGACATGGAAAATTCTCGTTTGTTGTATGTTTAGTTAGCATAACGTCACGGATTTCTTGTTGTAAACAAGATATACGCCGGGCTATTCAATGAAATTTACAATACGACCGACACGAGTTAAGAAAGACAAACAAGCAATTTTTATCCAAATGTTTGGTTGAAATGTTTCACCCAACAAGGGAAGTGAGGGGTTTCGAATCAACCAAAGGCTACGAATGAATCTGAAATGACAACGAATATATGAATGACGGTCGACAAATGGAGACATAAAGGCCACACCCAGCAGGCAGGTTGCAGTCGGGCCTTGAAAAAGTATTCATTTTATCAGTTCGACGAAACAGACATTCCGGTCAGATATGGGATTTACATGCAAACCCCCCTGCCCCAAAAAAACTACGCCCGTTTTTTTATTCATCATGTTCATTTAATGCTAAATAATTCTGTTGGAAATATTTGTTTCTAATAGCAAAAAAAGTGGACAAGATTATTGTTTTCAATCCAGATACGGCCAGAATTTTTGTTTAAGGCAAAAATCAGGGTCAGATTTTTTTCATGCTCTCAAACATCTCAGACTGCCCCCTCAAATCAAATGGTCCGTACCTTAGACTTTAAATCTATCTAGAGCTAATTGACTGGGGATCATTATTCAGCTATGTTATTAATAGGCTGGGGAGTGTTGGGTTAAACATGTTTTCGTAGGTAAATAATATTGCTGTGGAATTTTTTTTTCATGAAAGTGTAATAGAGTATTACTTTCTGTTCGGTAGAATTGTGAAATAGAAGTCAATAAATACGTTCTTGCTCAATCCTTTGTCGCTTTGAAGGTGTCATGCTTGTCATCCTCAGCCTAAGCAATGTGTTACTGTGATTTGAATTTCAAAATGACTGAGTGACGTTTTTTCGAAGCACTGGTCAACTCCACCGTAGCGAATCACATGATTTTGACATAATCAATAATATATTACAGTAAATACGAGCGAAACATATCTTTATAAGTAAAGAATTGCCGCATAAAAATCAAATACGCGGAAATGGCAAAGTTCACGAAGTCTAGTCTGATTAATCATTTTACAAAAAAATTAAAAAAAAAGTGCAAGCAAAGGGGGCGTACGCCCTCTACGCCCCCCTCTGGATCCGCCACTGATTAGCATAACAACCTGGCCAAACCTCTCTTCGCGTCGGAGCAGTGAGCCATGATCCCAGGCTATAAGTTGATGAGTACCACGTTGGAACACAATATTTCAATGTTCTGCCTCGCCTTGGGTACTTCTTTGTGAATTGAGAAACGTATGAACAATGCGATGGTTGAAAAATTGGTCCCATTCAAATTCAGAGCAGCTATAAACTATTTTAGCACTACTTTCGACACTGTTTGCATCAATAAGATGTACGAGACATTATTCCCCTTATTAACATACTCGATTGATACTCACCTGTGTCAGATTTGGCCTGCTCATTCAATTTTGTGACATTTTTATCAGTTGTATTCTTGTACAAATCGGTGGATAAAGTTGTTATATCTAAGGGGAAAAATATGAAAAGATATTAATAAACTCAATTTTTTTTTATGATTCATATACAAGTGATAAGTTTATAAAAAGAAGCATAATGATTCAATTATTAAAATAATGAAATATTTGGTTTAAGCGATTAATTATTTGACGTAAAGTTTTTTGTCCAGTGGTCTAATGTAAGCATGTGTTTCATTTGCACATATTCATGTGTATAAATTTATATAGAACATGTACATAACTTTTATTCACGCCAGTTTGTGTCTTTTCGTGTAAATATAAAAAAGAAGATGTGGTATGCAACTCTCCACAAGAGACATTATATATAAGCTTATATATAAAACTAAATGTCTAAAAATTAGCGAATAACACTTTTTACATACCAAAAGATTGGTCTTTATTCTCTGTTTCCAAATGGTGTGTGGTTTTTGTATTGTTTTCAACTTTATAAACCGCAGTGGTACTCGGTGCCATCTCTTCTGAAAGAAAAACAATATTGTTTTATTATTATAATGATGCGCGACATACTGTCATGTCAATCAATTAGGTGCCTAATCATAAATGGGTTTTCAACAGATTCATAGCATAATTTTTACTTGAAATATGCATACACATATCGCGGTCTTCAGCAGGTGTGTCATTTTTTATATATTTTTCTTTTTGATATTTTTTTTTTATTAAAGTAAGTTATCAAATGTTCAGGGAATTCGAAGTTTGCTCTACTGCAGTTAGTAGGTTTTAAAACAATACCACTGAATTCATCTTTTTGGGCTTTATTCAGTATTTTGAACTTTGATTTTTCTATGGTATAGTTAAATATATTTAAAAAAAAAATTAACATTGCATATTTTCTGCATGAATTTCAGATATTCTTTTTAATTTTCAATCCCATTTTTTTATATTGTGAAGTAAAGATCGAAAAACAGTATCAATACTCGACTTATTTGATAAAACAGGCACACAAACAACAAAGATAAACACATTATCAAGATAGTCTGACTTGGTACAGGGACTACCTATGAGGCGGAGTTCCACATGCGCATGAGATATCACCGAATTCCTATCTAGATCATACAAACTGCACAGTGCAGATACCAACAGGATGACTAATAACTTGAACGAAATGAACGACACACAATTTGAAAATATATTTTATATATCAAATTTATCTGTGATACATACATCCAATGGTGTCAAGTCGTCATTATATTACCTTAAACCTTCTTAGATTCTCCAAAGTATTATTAGTTACACTAGCACACTGTGTAACGAATTTATCTTACCGACTATCTTAACATGTGGTATTTAGACTAGTGGCCTATCAGAGTGATTGAGTTAAGAACCTACTTCTATTTGTCTATACAAGAATAAATGGCAACAATATCAATTTGTTAGCTTTAAATGCGTTTTATGAATTTATGTCAATCGTTCATCATCAATTTCTTCGTCTGTTGAAACCTTTCAGATTTTTCCTGACCATCGTTTTGTGTTAATAAAGGGACGTAACACCACTACTAACCGTGTATAGAAATAAGCCCCGCCTACTAACCTAATATGAAATATGTACACGGTCTCCACGCGGTTGCTTTTAACCAATCATATTCCTAGAAATGTATAGGAGGTAAGATAAATTGTCATATCGTGTGAGGAAAATGTAATATCTCGTACAGGCAGGAAAGCAAATCCTTGAATTTTAAGATAATACCACTGATTATTATACAAAATAAAGGATTAGGACGGGATTACAGTTAATGTCATTGCTAATTTTAAAAGGAAAATGTGATAATCGGCCATATATTTTTTAATTTTTATGTTTAACCAATAAACCGATTCACTTCTTTTATATAACTTCTATAAATGTATAAACATGTATACATGAATTTACTCACACGGCTATACTTTATTTCACTAATAGTATTGTCCCTACCAAAATGACACTATATTTTTAAAATTCTCTTACCATGAAGATATATAAACGACAGCGTAAATAGTCTGATCAAATTTTTGTTTCTTTATATATATATATATATTTGTGTTTTTGTGCTTTGTCCTGACTTAAACAAATAAAGTTTACTGAAAAATAAAATGATTACATTTTTTGGTATACAATACTTTCATAAACTTATTAAACATATTCTAAATACTGATATATATTAAGACTTTTACAGATGTCATAACGAAAATGTCAAGTAAGATATGCCAATCAATGTGATCTTATCAACCGCTTAACGTATACTATTACTCGAACTGGAAATGTTTCGAATGACAAATGTTAAAGCTTTGGAACGTTCTTTTATTAATATGTTACGATTAACAGTAAGTCGAACATCAAATAGTATATTTAGTACCTTGAACAATAAGTCGAACATCATATTGTTGCGTCTCGGTTCCAGTTACACTGACACATCGGTATTCCCCTGCGTCAGTCTCCGTCACATTAACGATTTGTAGGTCATATGTTGTACCATTTAGAGAACTTATTGTACTTATTCTGTAATGGTGTGGTATTTCCTCATTAACAATACTTCCGTCTGTATATGTACTCTCAGTGACGTTTTTACTTGGATTTAATCGAAGCCATTGTAAAGCTATAATATTACTTCCAAGGGTAATTTTACAATTAAGCAAAGCAATGTCACCGACTACAGAGTAAACATAATCATTGACTGGGGACGATTCTGCTAAAAAGACACCAAATAATGCAAAATAGATTAAAACCCACAGTATTAAATGAAATATGTCACTTGACTTTTCAGAGAGTAATTATCGCCAATTGTCGATTCTCGCTAACGCACTTTATTTGTCATGAATAAGAATTAACTGGGCAAGTCCTCAGTCAGTATCAATAATTTGAAAATAAAAAATATCATTAATCCACCATTTTCTACATCAGAAAATGCCTGTACCAAGTCAGGAATATGACAGTTGTTTTACATTCGTTTGATGTGTTTGAGCTTTTGATTTTGCCATTTGATAAGGGACTTTCCGATTTGAATTTTCCTTGGAGGTCGGTATTTTTGTTGTTTTACTTTTTCATTAGCTTTTATATCTTATCTTAGTGTATGGCACACATTGCTTTGGTATAAAAAGACACGAGGTCTTAGGGTGTTACTGAAAGCTAGTTTAACGCCAATAGCAACACATAATTAATCATGTTCTCCCAGATTTGAGTATCAATCAGTACACATCCAACGGATTTAGTATAAGACGTCATAAACAATCTGAGAAAAGAATGACCTTGTGCAATACCAAATATAAGTACATAATAAATATTGACAGGATATAGGAAAATAAGTTTTCATAACTGTATAGCAATAAATATTTTGATTTATCAAAAACAAAAACATGTTAGCCCAGGGTAAAACTAAAGATCCTACTACTGTATTAAATTTGATAACCTTTAAGAATGAGCTTAGTGAAACGATAAATGAGGATCATAACTTTTACGGCCTCTATAAACAATATCACCAAAAAATAAGGATCTGATATCCCATTTGTAATAAGAGTTCTACAGGAACCGTCAAACTTCTAAACGAAATCTTTGTATCTATGAAAGTGACTGGATAAAATTGAATTGAAGACTTAACGTGGCCTCCAATATACCACTTTCGAGTTATGTCCTTCACCGGAAAATTTCGTCAATTATGCGCGCTTTTATGACGTCATTTACCAGATAGAGGGGTTAGTCTGTATCCCTGCACTATTAAAGTTCATCAAGCGTCTTCGTGATCGTCATTATGCAGGATAAACTAGAAATAATGTTTGTTCCATAGTTACTTAATCACAATTCTCTAATGACAGCAGTGCTGATTATCAATTATAAGAATTTAATTTGCCGAATAATTCGTGCAATTTAGAATCATATTTTTTCAACCGCTCGCTCAACATGGGAAGGAAGTGACGATGCCCCTAAACGCACGAATGATGTTCACTAAAACCAAAGTTTTTGACGAAAATGCAACGAACTCGAAAGTGGTCTAATTTTTTGGACTATTGATGTCGCTGGGTTGCTCTGAGTCTTTCATTGATGTTCATCACACATCTTTCATTCATATTAATACAGTGTCGTATCGTGTAGTTACTTATATGTAATGATAAAAAATAATTAATTTTTGAAACTATACCTGTAAATACCAATAGAATCTGCAGTAATTTAACAGTAAAATACATCGACATCTATTATATAGTTCCAGTTTTCATGAGAGTTTTAACATTTTATAGTCAATAAAACTAACCTAGTATATACCAACAGGAATAATTAATGACACAATTCAAAATTCACATAGGTACTTAAAGATCTTCCTCATGGTAATTTTATTTCCTGTGATAGATATAAATAGTTACACAAAATTGTCAACGTTGAAATTAATACCTAAAAGAAAGCGAGACAAAAAAAAAACAAAACTGAAACTAATGAAAAAAAAAAATCAAAAAAAATCTGCATGGATAATAAAATGTGAAAACAAATCAAATTAATTAATTTTGACCTCACATTCTCATTTATTGCCGGTAGTTACCATAATATAGAAAAGTTTACAAATTCGTTTTATAATGTAATATTTTCCATCTTTATTTGGAATTCAAATTCAAGTGGATACGCCCCTAACTATCAATTTCTATTTAGCGCGGTTTTAGCACTAGCGCGTTACTTAAGTTGCGTCTATTTATACTGCTATGTAAAATTGTACTGTTCATTTGTTATAATTTTCGATAATAAACACTGTTTAAACTAGCATTACTTACAAGATAGTTATATATTTAAGTATAATCGTGTGATTACACAGCTGTCTTTCGGTATATCGACAAAAATGATCATACTGAACTATTAGTTCGGTCAAGAAAGACAACTCGTACTAAAAAAAGGGAGGTAACTCAATTTTCTTATAAAGGGAAACGAGTTTATCAGTATTTCCAAGGAACATGTTGATTTTTGCACGCCAACTTGTGTACATAAATAATAAAATATCGGATCACAACAGGTTTTGAATGTTTGATGATCGATATCCACGCTTAATTCCAATAGTATAATAATTTGTAGTCTTAATAGGAAACCGAGTTTAGAATCAAATTAGAATTATTACGGTTTATATATAATAATTTCAATTAGTTTTTATTATACGAGATGCGTATCTATTGTAAAAAATTCTTTCTTTATCTTTGAACATTTTTCTAAACATGCAAATTCTGTTAAGAAAAATAGAAGTATTTGATTTTATAAGACAAAAAAAAAACACAGAGAAAAGAAAAAAAAAAAGAAATCTGCCCACCTAAAATATTGAATTTTGCCATGTCTGGTTGAATGACTATATATATTTTGATTCTCATACAGACAATGCATTACATCGGTACAGAGAAAAATTATAAACTCATATTAACTCAATTTAACTATTAACGAACTTAGTGAAATGTTTGTTTCTTTTTTCATCTTTGAACTGCAAGATGGCGAAATGCATCTAAGAAATCTAACAAATTTTGCAAGTTTAAAATAGAGAACGATTTAAAACAAAATTGATTTCACTTCTTCAATACATGTGGTATACATAACTTTGGCCACTAGTAATAAATAAAAAGTATTATGTAATCAAATTTGGTTAAATATCTATTTCAAGTTTATGATCTTTTATATGTAAAGGTAGTAAGGTAAACATAAATAAACAGAATTAACAGCTTTATGTTATTGCTTCGAAAACGATGATGTCCTACTGATTTTATGGCCATCATACTCATACTTATATTCCTTAACTTTAAGAAGACACATTTAACCAATTAACTGAATGGTGTGTTATAACTTTGGATATCAAAATAAAGGTAAATACAGAAAAGCGCTTTGGACGCATCAAAATCATTAAGTGATATTGTCAATGTTAGACATGAATTCCAAAGTTTTTCATTTGGAAAAGTTTTTTTTCTAATTTCATTTTACATTTTAGCAGATATAATAAGTACAAGTTGATTCGAAGGACTGTGTCATGACTAAACAATTGCAGAGATTGTTTAAACACTCTTTTTTTAGTTAGGCTAAATTCCTTTATAGAAGTTAAGCGGAACTTAACCTTTTTTCGCTTATATTTCAATATCTCAACATCTCGGGTAACTTTTCCCGTTTGTGCATCCAGATAGTACCACCGTGTCCTTTAACTATTTTCTTGATTTAAACACTCAGTATGTCCACATTCTAAAACACTAGCTCGTGGTCTTTATTCAATACCGTTTGAATTCAACTCTTTTTCTAACCTTCAGCGCACCCATCGCACATTCTTTGAAAGATCATATTAAGCGTGATAGAACAGTTTATTGTTGTTATTGATTTATTCAGTCGGTTGTCCATTGAATTAATACAAGCTTCCCATTAAGGGTTGAGACATAAAAAAAGAATGAACAATTTTATTGTGAATGCACCTTGAAATACAAATGAGATTTTTTTTCATTCTACTGCAAAGTTTTCTGCATCTAAAGGTGCAAAAGATTAATTTTATATCATGCGCGGATATGATTGACGTATTTGCTTGGCGTCGAGTGACGAATAGTTCATGCATATTCGGAACGAGAACAAATCAACAATAATTCAATAAGTGGAATGACTAGGAAGAACACGATGAAGAACAGAAATTTCGAATGCAACTCGAAAATGATTTTTTTGCCATCAAACCCCTGGAAGAGTTGTTGCAAGGGTATATATATATGCTAACGTAAAGGAGATATGGCATCGGACGTGACTGCGTGTTTATACATTCAGCACAATGAAGCGAATAGATATAAGAAGATGTGGTATGAGTGCCAATGAGACAACTCTTGTATTTAATTTGTAAAATAAAAAATTATAGGTCAAAGTACGGCCTTCAACACGGAGCCTTGGCTTACACCGAACAGCAAGCTATAAAGAATACCCATTTACTGCCAGATGGAAGAAGTCAATAGATTGTCATATATGTTATACTCCATTGCCCGTGTTGGGATAACTTTTATACTGGATATGATAAATTAACTAGCCACACACTAGCACAAAAGTCTTGTCCATGCAAAATCATGATTTGTAGAATATTTGTCATACAATAATGGAATTTTCCAATGTACTTTAAATCAATAGCTTTAAACATTAGCTTGGTTAAAAAAAGGGACATGTCGGTGAAAAGAGAACCATAGTTATTTCTGATGGGATTGCATATGGTCTCAGTTGAAAATAAAACGTCAACCTAACATAATAATAAAAAACATTTGGTCAATAAAAAAAAATCAAACATCATGTCAGTTTCACAGTTTCAACATTTTTGTCGAATTAAAGAGTTTATTTAAAATATGATTTGTCCGTTCCTAAAGCAAGACATTTGTTTTTACTTTGGCCTCTTAAAAAAGATGGACTTATAAGTCTACTTTGTGTTTAAGTTAATAATGAGGAATACGTGTGTGTATCTTTTATATGACACAGTAGATGTAAACCTCCATGCATGCTGCGAGACTTTATGATTTCGGTCGTTGTGTAATCAAGTAACAATCCATTATGCGATTTTTTAGAATTAAAACTTTTCAAAATATGTTTTAGTTTCGAGTATTTTTTATTTATTTTCATATTCGTTTTAATTAATCATTTTATAATTATGTTTATTTCTAAAGGAATATATGTAACGGATCTCCGTGAACTATGACAAAGTATTAAGTAAACACGGGGTATTTTCCAAATACATGTAGCTAACTTAGCCAAATCAAAAACTCGTCAAAGATGAAACCCTGAAAGATTTCAG